CCGAAGTCAGTTTTATTTTTACAAAGAGACATGCTGCTTTTGTTTTTAATGTCTATGCGTGTGCCAGAGAGCAAATTTGGGTCCTCTGTAAGAGCAGCACGCACTTATGACCACTGAGTCATCTCTCCAGCCCCAATGGAAGCTTTTTTTTTTTTTTTTTTCACATTTATATTTTATGTATGAGTGTCCTGCATGCCAGAATGCCAGAGAGGGCATCAGATCTATTATAGATGGTTGTGAGCCACCATGTGGTTGTTGGGAATGGAACTCAGTACCTCTGGAAGAGCGGACAGTGCTCTTAACTGCTGAGCCCCTCTCCATGCCTGGAAGCTGTTCTTTTTATCTGACCTCCTGACCCTGTCTGAATTATGCTGTCATGGTAGTGGAAGAACTGGAACCGACATGGAACCCTACCTTCTGCACTTGGTCACTGTCTCGGTTTGCCTGGTGGAGAAGAGGAAAGGGGAAGGTGATTAGGTAATGAACTTGGGGATGCGGAACAGAGACAGAAGAAGTCACAGTTCAAACAGGACCATGGCATCTGAACCTGTCAGTGCTGGCGGCCCTCCACCGCTCTGCCTCGGTTTCTCTACTGGTACTCCAGTGGTGGTAACATAATACAACAGTAATGACACCCACCATTGTGAGACACCTGCTCCCTCCTCCTGGGCTCTGTGGGGGAAGACGGGCTTACCTCTTTATTTCAGTTATGTCTTTGTGCATCTGGGTTTAAACCTAGGGCTTTGCCCATGCAGACAACATTCTACCACTCAGCTACACTCTTGGCCCTGTTGTTTTTCTTTATTTTTTATTTATGAGTCTCTGTGTGTGTCTGTATGGTACATGTGTGGATGCCCTTGGAGTCCAGAAGGTGTCAGAACTTCTGGTGCTGGAATTATAGGTTGTTGTGAGCCACCTGACGTGGTGCTGAGAACCAAACTCAGACCCTCTGCAAGAATCACGGGGTCATCTCTCCGGCTCGGGTTTGTTTTTAAATGAGGAATCCGTAGGGCCGTCTGGCCTGGGACCTGATATGCAGCTGTGCTGTTTGAATGAGAAGGGCCCCGAGAGGCTCACGAGTTTACATGCTTAGTCCCCAGGTGACAGCTGTTGGGAAGCATGAAGAGGCACAGCCTTTCTGGAGGAGATACGTCACTGTGGTTGGGCTGTGAGGTACCAAAATCGTATACCAGGCCTTGTGTCTTGCTCTCTGCCTGCTGCCTGCACATCACAAGGTAAAGCTCTCAGCTCCTGCTCCAGCACGATGCCTATCTGCTTCCCACCATGATGATAATGAACCATCCCCCGAAACTGTAAGCAAGTTCCCAATGAAATGCTTTCCTTTATAGGAGCTGCCTTGGTGATGGTGTCTCTTCACAGCAGCTAAGGATGACACTGAACTCTTGGGCCTCCACCTGAGGGCTGGGATTGCAGCTGTGTGCCACCACACCCTTTGTGACTTCTACTAAGCCATCTGTGCTGGTGCTGCTGGTTGTCAAGCTTTGTAAATGTTGGATTGTGACTCTTTATGGGGTGCTGTAACTGAATGGTGGGGTTAGAGAATATTTGGCAATAGTGAGGGTTTCTTTCTGTATGCACAATGATGGAAATCAATTACAAATCAAACATGTAACAAATATCTGTGTTTCTGGCAAAAGGGGGCTGGTGAGTGGGAAAAGGTTAAGAAACCAGGTCTAACCCAGGCCCTCTCCTCCCCACAGGCCTGATTCAGTCCCTCTCCAGGAAAGCCTTCAGTTCAGGACCTCCCTGCGGGCTGGCCCTAAACTAGCAACAGTGACGATATCTGTGCTGATGACTCTTGTGAGGGTGGGTGTCCGAGCCCTGGCAGCAAGAGGAGATTCTACTTAGGGAATGGTCTCTTTGCTCCTGGAAAAGATCTTGAGGCAGAAAAGCTCAATTTTCGTCTCTGACGCGGTGGTAGCCATCTTGGAACTGGGATGGGGTCCAATCTATGTGTTCAAGTTGGGCACACAGAAGAAAAGAATCTGGTTGGGGATGCTGAGGAGAGCTAATTCATCAGCCTTTGGAGCATCAGGACTAGGTGGCTTGTTTAACTAGGTAACAACTCTCTACATGATCCAAGCCCCTTTAATTAGATTTCCTGTTACTCCCAGCCAGAGGCATCCTTGTCGCCTCCAGCCGGCCCTGGCCCACAGAGCCACCATGCTCCCACGCTCACCAGCAGGGCCCGCACCGCCTCTGTCACAGCCGCCTTCTCTGCCTCCAGGCTCCGGATCTGCTCCCGCAGCTGCCTCAGCTCCTGCCACTTGGAGATCTGTGGGAGGACACCACGAGGGGGAAGTGAAATGGCCACCTGGATGGCAGCAGGTGAGGTCCAGCGTCCCCTCCCATTAGTGCCACTACACCCAGAAGCCCAGCTGTGGGCACAGCTGTCCTGAACCAATGCATTTCCCAGCTCACCCTGCAGCCGCTTCTGTTGGTGTGATCAAGACCAACCAAGGGACAAGGGTGGATGTGTGACTTTTTATATTATTATTATTTTTGATTTTGTGAGACAGTGTATTGAAATGCAGCTCAGGGTAGCCTTGAACTTGTAATCCTCCTGTCCTTCTCCGAGTGGTGGGACTACAGAGGTGCCAGCATGCTTGGCTAAGTCACTTCTTTAAGGTGACTAAACCTCCCTTTTCCCTTCTTGTTTATTTATTTTGTGTGTGGCCACAGCATGGAAGTGAGAAGACACTTTATAGGAGGTGGTTCTCTCCTTCCACTGCGTGGATCCCAGGGACTGAACTCAGGTTGTCAGTTTGGCAGTAAGTACCTTTTTCTGCTGAGCCATCTCCCCTGGCTCCTCTTCTTTAAATACAAGGTCTCCTTAAGTAGCCCTGGCTAGCCTGGAACTCACTCTGTAGCCCAGGCTGGTCTCAAACTCACAGAGATCCGCCTGCCTCTGCCTCCTCCAGGTTACTGGGATTAAAAGTGTGCACCAGCCAAGCAGTGGTGGCGCAAGCGTTTAATCCCAGCACTAGGGAGGCAGAGGCAGGCGGATCTCTGTGAGTTCAAGACCAGCCTGGGCTACGAATTGGTTCCAGGACAGGCTCCAAAGCTACACAGAAAAACCCTGTATCGAAGAAAAAAAAAAGTGTGCACCAACATGCCCAGAGATTGTTGTTGTTGTTGTTATTATAATTAAGCATTTACATTAATTTCTTGTGTTTGTGCTTGTATGGAGGTCAGAAGACAACACTCTCAGGAGCTGGTTTTCTCCTACCATCTGGGAACAGAACTCAGGTTGTGTGGCTTGGCAGCAAATGTCCTTACTGGCTGGGCTACCTGGCCACAGAAACTTAAATGAGGCCAAAGTGTACATGATTTACAGTGCCCGGTGTGAGAGGGTGTGGTGTTTCAATGAGCAATGTCCCCCATAGGCTCTGGCTCCTAGGCATCTGGTCAGTGCTGGTGATGTTTGGGGAGGCTTAGGAGATACGGTCTGGCCGGAGGAAAAAGGTCGGTCACTGGAGATGGGCTCTGAGAGCTTAAACCTGCCCTACATCTAGTTTGCTCTCTCTGCTTCATGCTGGTGGTTAAAGGTGTGAGCTCTCTCAGCCAGGCTGCGAAGCACGCCTTTGATCCCAGAAAGCCAGGCAGATCTCTGTGAGTTTAAGGCCAGCCTGGTCTACAGAGCAAGATCCAGGACAGGCACTAAAACTACACAGAGAAACCCTGTTTTTTTTTTAAAAAAAAAAAAAAAAAATGTGAGCTCTCAGTTTACTGCTCTGCCACCCACTGCCATTCTGTTCCTGCTAACCCCAAATAAATTCTCCCATAAGTTGGTTTGGTCATGATGTTTTAGCACAGCAACAGAAAAGAAACTAATATAGAAGGGTTCAGGACAGTTGTGAAGACTTGACTGATCCATTACATTCAGAACTCACTACTGACATGGTGACCCCCAATTCTAGTTCCCTATAAGGTAGCACTACCTAAGCACTAACGATTTTATCATTCGCACCCAGTCTCAACATCTGGATCGTAAGTGTTGCTTAAATATCTGCTCAGCAGGTGTTTATTCATTCAACCCTATTTATCAGTTTGCTATGATAGCAGGATACAGAGCTGTCTCCAAGAGTCCCTCGCCCATCTGACTCGGACCTCACTCCTCAGTTTTCTTTGTGGCCTTAGGGCGAGGCTGGCATCAAGTTCCAGCACAGAAGACAATGGTATTTAAGTTCCAAGAGTAGAGTAGATACCAAGTATCCAATTACGAAATATATGCAAAAGGGCGTGCAGGCCACAAAAGGCATCCGTGACGTTCAGTGGGGCCTTAGTTCTCAGTGGGCCACTGGCGCATAAGTGGGTGTCATGCACAAGACATTGCCTGACGTGGGAAGGAACCCAAATTCCTGTAAGTAGTTCCTCCCATTCCTGGAATGCATAGGGCAAACCCAGTTAAGCTAGCAGCCCGCTCCCGCGGCCGCGGCCGGCGCAGGCGCACTCACAATCGCAGGCAGGTCGGCCGGCCGCAGCTCCCCCTTGCGGAGCTCTAGGGCGCGCGCGGTTGCTTCTGGGCATGCGCACACCGACTCCATGTCCAAGTAAGGAAGCTCGCTGTAGCCCTCACGTGCGTGTTCATACAGGAGGTTCCGCGCTCGTTTTTCTGTAGCGAAACTTCTCCTTGGGTTCTGGATGCACACGCAGCGTCCTCGGGACCGGAGCCCCTGGCGAGCCAGGAAAGGCCGCAAGAACCGTGCCATGGACGCAGCCATCTTGGACTGGAAACCAGGAGTCACTCGCCAGGGACGAGCCAATCAGACGCGGAAAGAGAGTTCCCGCCCAGGCTTCAGAAACCCTTCCAATGAGGAAAGTTGAACCAAGATAGATCCTGTCATTATCCAATTGTCGCCTTTGTCCCGCCCCTTTCGTGACGTAGAAGAAGTGGCCAATCACTAAAGAGAATATCCGGAAGGGGCTGGAGGTAGACTTTAGCGTGTCTACGGCCCTGCTAGGTTGGGGAGGTGGGTGTAATTATCTGTTCTCCAAACACCTCTCTCTTCTCCTCACTTTCCCCGTCCAGTATCGGGCGAGGGCGAGTGGGTCGCTGGGGGCCTGCTCAGAGTGAGGCTGAATTTGCGGGGGGCACTTTCCATTGTGGTTTGCCTTGTAGAGGAGACTCGTCCCAACCTCCGTTCTGAGTATCTTATGTCCTAACACAGGGACGCAGAGAAGGCGAGATGTCCTGGTCCGGCCTTCTCCGTGGCCTCACCACGTCCCTCAGTCGTGGTAAGTGAGCGTGGGCCGCAGGGACGAGGCTGGATGAGGGCTACTCACTGGGACTTGTGTGGCTTTTGCCAGATCTCGGGTGGTATCAGCTTTAAACACGGTGCTTTTTTTTTTTTGGAGACAGGGTTTCACTGTAGTCCAGGCTAGCCTCTAATTCGCTTTGTAGACAGGATGGCCTTGAACTCCTGATCGATCACCCGCCTCAGCTTTCCAAGTATTACAGGGGTTTTCTACCACGCCCCTGGCTCAAGGGACAAGAAGTGGGAAGCTCCTGTGTCGAGCAGAGTTTAAGTCAGTCATCGTCATGGCTCCCCCACATAGATAGTGGTGAATCCTTAAGATTGTATTGGCTAATGATACTCTGTCTTAGTTTCTGTAAGTACACTCTGATGTTCATGCAACAATACCGACCAATGTTCTTTTCTCAGCGTGTCTCCCTGGTTAGGTGTCTCAGCAAGTATTTATTGATGACCTCCTATGGGTGAGAAATCCAAGCCAGGGATTTTAGTCATTCATTCAAGTGACATTTTTCTAATTCTAAGATGTGCCTCCCACTGGAGGGGAACTTTTATGTTTTTAGACATACCCCAGACATCAAATGTTGTGCACAGTGTCCTGAGGGATTTCATTCACCTGAATATTTACTATCTAACCTGATCTACATAGAGAGTTCCAGGACAGGCAGAGCTACATAGTGAGACCCTGTTTTTGTTTGTTTGTTTTTAAGTGTTCAGTTTTGTGTGTGTAAGGTTTGCCTGTATATGTCTGCGCGTCTGTGCATCATGTTTGTGCAGGGCGTCAGATCCTCTGGAACTGGAGTTACAGATGATTGTGAACTGTCTTGTGGGTGCTAGAAATTGAACCATGGTCCTCTGTAAGAGTAGTCAGTGCTCTTAACCACGAAGCTACCTCTCTAGCTCCACAAATAAATCTTACTGGTCTGCCTCGAAAACATCTCCTCCAGTATTTCCACCTGCCTCTCCTTATATTACATTGCAGCTGCAGTGGTCTGTTTGGGTTTTTGTTGTTTTTTTAAGGTACCTAGGCTGGAGCAGTTTGGACAAGGAACCAACAGGGAGTGGGAGGTAATGGCGGGTTAGGTGGAGTCTTTGAGAAGGCTTGACTTTGCCAGCATGCTCAGCTTATGTAAAAGATTTAAAATGTATAAGAACATAATTATAGGTATGATAATAAAGGTTAGCTGTTGTTAGTATTATTCCTAAATACCTCTACTTATTTATGTGTATGAGTGTCTTACCTGCATGAATACTCTTACCTATGTGCAGTGTCCTAGGAGGCCAAAAGAGGCCATCGGATCCCTGGAACTGTTGCTAGCCACCATGTGGTGCTGAGGATTGAACCTGGGTCCTCTATAAGAGCAACCTGTGCTCTTAACCACTGAGGCATCTTTCCAGCCCCTGTATGAATGTTTTCCTGCATGTATGTAAGTGCATTACAGGCATGTGTCAGATCCCCTGGAACTAGAGTTACAAATGGTTATGAGCTACCACCATGGGAGCTGGGAATCAAACCCCTATCCTCCACAAGAGCAGCAAGTGCTTCCAACCACTGAGCCATCTGTCTGTCCCCACAAATACCTCTAGACATCAGCAGTTATGACCTTGTAAAGGGCTCGGATCCCTCCCTAGAATATGGAAACCAAGTAGACCCTGTTGTGTCTCTACAGGCCTGGCCCTAGGTCCCCAACTCTGGGCCACACGTTCCATGGCCACCCTGAACCAGATGCACCGCTTAGGCCGCCCGAAGGAACCCCCTAAGCGTCTGGGTCCCACAGAGGGCCGGCCACAGCTGAAGGGTGTGGTGTTACGCACATTCATCAGGAAGCCGAAGAAGCCCAACTCTGCCAACCGCAAGTGCTGCCGAGTGCGCCTCAGCACGGGCAAAGAGGCCGTCTGCTTCATCCCTGGGGAGGGCCACACCCTGCAGGAGCACCATGTGGTCCTGGTGGAGGGCGGCCGCACCCAAGACCTGCCTGGGGTCAAACTCAAAGTTGTGAGGGGCAAGTATGACTGTGGCCACGTGCAAAAGAAGAAGTGACCATAATTGACAGTGGTCAGGCACTGGGTCCTCGGAAACCAGTTCTTCCTGTTCCAGCGAAGGCTAGTCCTGGGCTCAACTCTCACTTGGCCTCATCAGGACTGCTATTAACTGCAAGAGTTCTGGTGAATTGGGAGGAAGCGCCCCTCTGCCCACTCCCTTGGCTTCCATGTTCAGTGTCCACAGATGGGACCTCATGCTGGGATGGGAGTTGTAATAAACACATCTGCAGGTTGTGATGTCACCCATCGTGCCCTGTCTGTCCCTGGCTGTGATGGCAAATGCCCACCTCTGTGCACCTCAGTTCCCTGGCGGAGGAGCTGTTCTAGGTGCTGAAGATGATTAATGGATGCTCCACATGCTCGCACATGTGTGTGGTGGTGACGGTGTGGGTTCTTGCAGCACCAAGAGGGGTGAAGGCCCATCCCAAATGTGGCCATCTGCCAAGTAATAGTAAGTTTGATACTGGCAGGGTGTTGAAACATTTAAATGGGTAGTGAGTGGTGGTGAGTGCCTGTGAGACCCTTTCTCAGAAGAGGGAGGGGAAAGGGGTTATATATGCCTCGGTTTGCTGATTCTTGCCTATGTGCTGTTATTTATTTTTTATTTCTGATCAATCTGTACATATGTGGGTGTTTGTGGGGGCCCTTCTGGAGCTGGAGTTGCAGGAGATTGTGAGCAGTTGATGCCGGTACTGGGATCAAACTGGAGTCATCCTCTGGAGGCTGGAGAAACAAACAGCAAGTGCTCTTAACCACTGAGCCATCTTCCTAGCCCCTGGGAGTCCCTGCCTCTGGCCTTCAGTTTCCTGCCTTGGATAGTGGCATCAATTGTAATGTGGCCTTTTATGATCACAGGTTTTAAGCTGTAGGAGTTATGCTCACATTATTGGACTCTGGAGTTCAACTGATTCCAGCCCTGCATAAGCACAGACACACAGACACACAGTTCCTGCCTGGTGACCTGGGGCAAGGCATTCTAATGTAACCTGGACTACTTGGCATTTATTGATAAAGAACCAGGGTTAAGAATTTAGCTCAGTGGGTAGAACCCTTGCCTAGCAAGTGCAAGCAAGGCCCTGGGTTTGGTCCTCAGCTCTGGAAAAAAAAAAAAAAAAAGGGAGAGATAAAGAACCATGGCAAACTGGACTCCATGGCTCACATCTGTAGTCCCAGTACTTGGGAGATAAAAGCAAGAGGATCACAAGTTCAAATCTGTCCTTGGTGACAGCAGATTGGGGGGCAGCTACATGAGACCCTGTCTTAATAGAAGGCCATTGGAGAAAGGACCCTTAAGAACTAGCCTGGAGCCAAGTGTGGTGGTGGCTCACACCTGTAACCCCAGTACTGTAGAGGCCAAGGTAGGAAGGTGCTTTGAGTTTGAGACCAGTCTGGGCTATGGAGTGAGAGTCTTACCTAAACCGGCCTGGGTCCTGGAAGCTTGCCTCCAATACGTAGCATAGACACAGCCTCTTGATGGTCTCTGATTGTGCACATGTGGCCACAAGTACTTCTGGATCGGGGCTGGAGGCAGACAGGAGCACAGCCTGCAGACGGACACCTTCTGCAGTCTCATTTTCTTGACTGAGGCCGAGTCTGTATCCCAGGCCAGCTTGGAACTCCCTGTGCAGCTGAAGATGCCCTTGAACGATCTCCTCCTCCACCTCCTGAGTGCTGGGGTTACAGGCGTGACTCATCATGCCCAGTTTTACGTGGTGCTGGGGATGGATACATGGGGCCTTTTGCATGCTGGGCAAGTGCTGCACTGTGACCTCTGCCTCAGCACCAGTTTCTGTTTGTTTAAAAACTCAGGTGTGTGTATGTGTGTGTGTGTGAGAGTGTGTGAGTGCAGCTGCCCTTGGAGTCCAGATGTGTTGAATCCCCCAGGAGCTGGAGTTACAGTAAGCTGCCTGGTGCAGTACTGGAAACCAAACTTGGTTCTTCTGTAAAAGCAGTTTGTACTCCTAACCTCTGAGCCATCTGCCAGCCCCTTTAACACCTCTTTAAAATTATTGTTTAAATATTATTTAAACAATATTTATTTTATTTTATGTGCATTGGTGTTTTGCCTGCATGTATGTCTTTGTGAGGGCACTGGATCCCTGGAGTCACAGACAGTTGTAAGTTGCCATGTGGGTGCTGGGAATTGAACCCAGGTCCTTTGGAAGAACAGCAGTGCTCTTAACCACTGAGCCATCTCTGCAGCCCCTTAACACCAGTTTTATTGGGCAGTTTGGGGGGAATTAAGAGCAGGTGTAGGGGAGCTTCCCCCAGAGCCTGTCTGGTGCCAGGCAACTCGGCAGGAGAGGGGAGGATGTTACCTGGCATAGGGGGTGTGTGTGGGGGGGGGGGGTGTCTCTGAGGAACTGATGAGAAATGCTGCCAGCCTAGACAGATGAGGTGCTGCTGCGGGGCAGTAAAGACAGACATTGTCCCCAGGTGGATGGGTACAGGGGCCCACAGCTGGATCTACGACTCCTCAGAACATCACAGCTGCCAGGATGAATGCCCTCGCTGACCTCCGTTCCCTGCCCGCCATCAACCCATCCCCCAAATGTGCAGGTGAGACAGTGTCCAGGGCTGGGGAGACGGCTCGGTGAGTGAAGGCGGCTGCCAACAAGCCTGATGACCTGAACTTGACCCCCTGAACCTACTCCTGCAAGTTGTACTCTGAGCTCCCCACATGTGGTTCTCAACCTGTGGTTTGTGACCCCTTTGAGGTCAAATGGCCCTTTCGCAGGGATTGCCGAAGTCCATTGGAAAATACAGATATTTATATTACCGTTCATTACAGTAGCAAAATGACAGTTATGAAGTAGCAACGAAATAATTTTATGGTTGGGGGTCAGCACAGCATGAGGAACTGTATTAATGGGTCACAGTATTAGGAAGGTTGAGAACCACTGGTCTACACAAACTGAAGAAATCATTGTGAATGCCTCTTTCAGAGAACTCAGGTTCAGTTCCCAGTACCCATGTTGTGTGGCACACTATCATCTGTAACTCCAGTTCCCTCTGGATTCCCACACTCACATGTACATACCCACACACTGACACACAATTAAAATACATTTTTTTAAAAAAGTCACTGTCTCCTTATAAGTAGCTTTCTCCTTTTGTTATATTCTGAGCTTGGTCTATTGGATGTTTTGTGTTTTTGACATGGTCTCACATAGCTCAGGCTGGCCTGGAACTCAGTATATAGCTGAGGATGACTTTGAACTCATGATCCTCCTACCTCTACCGAGAGTGCTGGGATCAGAAGTGTGTGCTATCAGGTCTGGCTTGGACTGTTTTTGTTTTGACACACTTTACCCACTGACATCTATACATGAAGCAGTTCTCAGGCTCAGTAACCTAGAGGTGCCTGTCACTTTAAGGTGGTCCCTGCTTGAGGAGAGAAGGAAGCTACAGACAAGCTGGTTAGGTCCCTGGTGTGTCACAGCAGGAGGGCCATGATGCTGAAACAGCAAGTGTGTAGGGGAGCCGCACAGGATCCCCTTTTTCTGTTCAGCTGGGGGCAGGCTGCAAAGCCACCTTTGACTAACACCATCCGGGAGAAGGCAGTATGTCCTGGAAGTCCTGAAGGGCTGGTCAGCTAGGACAGACGGATCCTGAGCCGCACACTGGAGTGGGTCACAAGGGCACCGTAGTGTCCCACCCAGGAACGCGTGTCTCTCCCATACTGCTCAAAAGACACATATCGGATGCCTTTGCCAAAGTCAGTGAAGACGTGAGAGACCTGTGGGAAAGGAGTGACAGGCTGAGGCTGGTGGACCCCTCTTCCTCCATCTCAGCAGACTCTTGAGCAAAAGAAAGGGCTAGATGCTGAAGACTGGTGTCGGGGAGAGCAGTGGGCATGCTCCAGGAGGGAGGCAGGTGTGAACAGGTAGGAGGAGGTGAAAAGTGACCAGGGAGAGGCTTCATGGAGGTGATACTGGAGGAGATGAGGAGGGCTGGGAGCCACATGAGGTTCTGGAGAAAGTGTTGCAGACGATCAACTGTCAGCGCAGAGACCGTGAGCTAAGAGAGCCTGCCGCAGACCGAGAGAAGTAGGAGGTGGGCTAGGTAGGTGGGAGGCCGTGTGGGGCTCTGTGGGCCATAATGAGCCACAGGCTTGGCACCCTCCCCCAGTGTCTTCACCCATTCGTTACTGATGGATTGAGAGAGGTCCTATATAGCCCTGGCTAGTCTCAGACTCAGAGATCCACCTGCCTCTGCTTCTCAGTGCTGGAACTAAAGGCCTGCACCACCACTTAGTTATTTTGAGACAGGGTTTCAGGTAGCCCAGGCTGGCCTTGAACTCACTAAACCTGAAGAAGTCCTTGAACTCCTGATCCTCCTGCCTCAGCCTCTCAAGTGCTGTAATTTGAAGTGTGCACCACCAGGCCTGGCTCATGCGTGCTTTTGGGACTTAAGGCCAGTCACCCTCTCTGTGGCTCAATTTCTCAACCCTAGGATAGTAACAGAGCAAGGACTTTGGTTCATGCATTACAGCACCTTAAACAGTACCTTCAACACAGTAGGTGCTCAATAAATGCTCTAATAAAATGATTAATCAGTAAGCCTCTTAGAGCAGGGTTGAGATGTACTGTATAGTAAGGGCTTGATAATTGGCAGTTGTTTTCAGACTCCATCAATGAACCGGGAAACCCAGCAAGGTGATTGTTGGGCGCAGGCCTTGGAGCTAGTGGGCAGTCAGGACTTACTTGTCGGCAGCTGCTCTCAGTCCACTGAAGTACTGGGTTGGGCGAGGCCGAGAACTTGACCACTTCATTTTCATATTCATCCAGCAGACGGACCCGAAGCCTGTAGACACAGCCGCAGTTCTCACGGGCGCCCCACCTGCCAGGTGGTAGTGCGTTTTCAGGTCCCTGCCACCTAGCCGGCTCTCCGGGTTGGGAGGAGGGAGGCTGAGGGCTGAGCTTTCCTGCAGCTGAACCAACGTCCTATCCACACATTTAGTGCGTTTGGGCACTTACGAGAAGATGGGCCCCAGTGGTGGGCCAGAGCCAAATCATAGGGGCGGAGCCAAGCCTGAGAAAAGGGCCTGGAAGACGGTGTTGCTACTCTGAGCGGGTGGAACTACAGTGCTCTAGGGAGGAGCCACGCCCAGGCAGGAAGAGTTGACCTGAAGAAGAAACCAGAGGCCAAGAGAAGAGACCAAATGCCTCCAGTGTTGCCAACTCGTCAGAAGCCTTGACTGGCCACAAGGTTTTAGGGCCGGCGCTGAGTAGAATGATAGCATGGAGCCAGTCCGTGGGCTCCTGTGCGCAACCCATGCCTGCCTGCTTGGGAAGAGGGTGGAAAGGAGTGCAGGAACAGGCCTGGGATGCAACAGGGCTCCTCCCTCCTAGTTCTGCAGCTGTATCTCCCAGGAAAGGGAGCCCAACCCTGTGGGCTGATGGGGCGAGACTGAACTATCTCTCCAGCCCACTCTAGTTACCATCGCTGTGGCTCTGGGTGCCCCGCCAGTCTCTGCTCACCAGTCAGCTACGCAGATCTCAATCTGGGCACTGTCCAGAAGCTCCTGCCACATTCCTTCCATCACCAGGTCCACCAGCTGCCTCTTGAAGCACCATCTGGGAGGGAGATGCCAGGGCTGAGACACAGTCTTAAAACCACTTCCTCCACGAAGTCTCTCCTGATCACCCTGCTTTTCAGGACAGGAAGGTGTGTGGTGGACAATGCGTCTCCCGTCACACTATCCCCTCCCCCATTTCCACCTTGCTCCGCCCCCAGGAGGCTGATCTTCATGCTAGTCTCCTTACCCCTGATGTTGGGGGGGACCAGGAGATATATAGATAGATAGATAGATAGATAGATAGATAGATAGATAGATAGATAGATAGATATAGATATATATAAAAATAGGTCCACACACTAGACAACTGAGCAGAGAGTTCTGGGGCCTCCCAAGATTCTGGGGCCCAAAAGATAACACAGGAGCTTGTTAGTGGAACAAGCTGTGTCAGGACAAACTTAGGTATGCGTGAGAACTTCGGAAATGATAGAGGACAGGGGTATGGTGGTGTGGGCCTGTACTGCCAGTTACCTGGGAAGCAGAGCAGGAGGATCAGGAATTCAAGGCCAGCCTCACCTACACAGAGTTCAAAGTCAGCCTGGTCTATATGAGACCCTGTCTCAGGAGGGAAAAGAAAATCAGAAATTCTGGAGCCAGATTATCTGGGTTCAAATCCTAACTCTATTATTTATTTATTTAGTATATATTTCTTTACTTGAGACAGGATCTCACTATGTGGATCTGACTGTCCTGGAACTTATGTAGACCAGGCTGGCCTCAAACTCACAGAGATCTGCCTGCCTCTGCCTTGGGAGTGCTGGGATAAAGGTGTGCGCCACCATTCCCAGCCCACCAATTGACTAGATATTAGCTCTCCTCTGTGCTTTAGTTTGTCATAAGCTGGGGAAAGAAAAATACCCATGTTGACGGACTTAACAGACTACGACAGTGGGGCCATGGCTCAGTGGAAGAGTGCTTTGCCTATCATTCCTGGAGACCTGGATTTCATTCCTTGTATCACAAAGACCACCACCACCACAACCAAAACAATGACAAGTCAGATGTGATGTGGTAGCATGCTGGCGGTCAGAGGTTCAAGGTTATCCTCTGCTAAAAATCAAGTTAGAGGCCACGCTGGCCTACCTAAGACCCTATCTCCAAACCAGGGCTAGGGAGACGGCTCAGTCGGCAAAATGCTTGCCTCGCGTGAAGACCTGAATTCCATCCCCAACAGGCACATAAAACACCAGAGTGCCGTCACCAGGGGCTCTGACGCCCTCTTCTGGTCTCGTTGGGCACGTGCACTCACAAGCACAGCACACCTCCCCACATACACACAGGAAGGAGGGTAGGGGAGTGACAGTAGGATTAGCGGCCTGAAGTAGGTCCCTCCCCCTCTTTGGACCCTCACTCTAGGCATCAGGGGCCACTCACTCAAAAGAAGTCACAAAGCAGGTCTGGGAAGGAGCGCCTGACACCACCGTCAAATTCTTTTCCACGGCCCAGCCGTTCCCTCCGTGCTCCACTTCCCAGCCTCTGAAGCCCTCTGTAGAAAACAACGTGGCAGAATATAAAGCATTCGCCTGCCCCTCGAGGGGCAGGGGCCTCGCAGTTTGCCTTGCGCATAAGCTCCCACCCAGTACATTTCAAATTTGGGGTGTCTTACTAAACCCATCTTCCAAGTTCCTGTATCCTGGCCCCACCGACCCGGCCACTCAACCAGCTTCTGCTTCCAGCTTTCAGACCCACTGAGTCTCAGTGCCCCCGAGTCCCATCTTTCTGCGCACGCCTCCAGCCTTCTGCCTTGCCCCGCCCACCCGCTCAGGTTGGCGCACTCTGATACGCTTAGTGTTTTATGCAAACCCCTCCTTCCACCCGCGCCCAATCCGCTTTGTCTTAGCCGGCCTCAGGCCCCTCCCTCTAGGCCACGCCCTCCGACCGGGATTTCCTTCCCTAGCTGTCCTTCAGTCCCGCCCCCTGCCTGGGTCTCCTCGGCTTTAGGTCCCGCCTTCTAAGCGTTAGAACTCGCTCTCTAGGGGTAGGCCCCGCCCACCAGCCAGAAGGCCCCGCCTCCAGGTGTTAGGCCCTGCCCCCGGGACCCACGCTCTCCGCAGGAGTTGAAGATGAGGTTGCGACCGAGCGGTGCGCGCAGGCAGAAACGGGCCAGAGCGCAGAGCGGGAACTCGTCTTGATGGTCATCGTCGGGGGGGCAGCGCTGGGCCAAGGCGTAGAGGGCTCTGCCCTCCGCACTGCGGTCGCGGGCCAGCTGCAGCAGCCACACGCTCGGGCCATCCACCACGTCGCGCCAGGCTCGGCACACGGGCCGGCAGCGCGTCACTAACGCGCGGGGAGACACGTGGCTCAGCACCTGCACCAGCAGCTCCGGGGGCAGCGCCGCCAGAGTCACGCGCGGAGCTTCCGGCACCTGCCGTCGCGAGGGTCGGGCTCCCATGTCCCGCCACCGGCGTCCTCTGGGTGCAGAGGGGTTGGCGTCTCGACCTCCCTGGGTCACGAACCGGGTTCAGGATGCCTGGCTGCAGACAAGATAGAGCAAATCCGTTTGCCTGGAGCCAAAGACACCTCCAAATCTAACCCAGTCCCAGCAGGGTGTGGTGGAACATGCCTGTAATCACAGCACTTTGGAGGCAGAGGCAGGAGGATTGCCATGAATTCGAGGCCAGCCTGTCTCACATAGTGAAACCTTTTAAAAACAACAAAGCGGCCGGGCGGTGGTGGCGCACGCCTTTAATCCCAGCACTCGGGAGGCAGAGCCAGGCGGATCTCTGTGAGTTCGAGGCCAGCCTGGGCTACAGAGTGAGTTCCAGGACAGGTGCAAAGCTACACAGAGAAACCCTGTCTCAAAAAACCAAAAAAAAAAAAAAACAACAACAAAGCTCCATGAGGGAAAGGCCGTATCTGCCCAGACCCCACCTTGTGCAGTCCACTTGGGCCGTGGAATTCACTGTGTATTCCAGCAAAGTCACTTTCTTCTGAACATCTTTTCTAGAATCCGGTTCTCCTCTTATGCTCCTTCCAAACCAGTAATGTCCTTGCTCCTTCGAGCTGTGTCCAGGCCATTCGACCTCTCCCTCCCGAAGTCCCCACCCGCAGATCTCAGGGGCAGCAGGTCCACTGCTCCCTTTTTCTCCTTCAGTGTCTCGGAGTTCCACGCGCCTTCGAGCCCACTGTGGTCTCCAATTGTGTCCCTATTGCCCTTCCACTGCCCCCACCCCTCGCTCTTGACCTAGCTTCAACTCCACCGCCGATCCCAAGGGTCTCACATGCACTCTGGACCCTTTGGCTTTCGTGCCTAGTAATGTCTGAACTCCAACTCCGAGCCCCTATCTTTGTTCACATCCCCAACTCCCAATGCGAGGTTGTAATTCCGGGCTCTGCATGCTGGCCAGTCACTCCATCATTGGGCTGCACTTCGGCTCCCCACTGCTGAGTTCTAGGTGGTTGCTCTACAATTGATCCAGGCCACACCTGGCTCCTCTTTATAGTAAAAATTGCCCCAGAACCACACTTCGCTGTGCATGCCTGTAATCCCAGAATGTAGAGGTTGGAAGCAGGACTTTCTAAGTCCTAGATCAGCCTGAACTATGTAGTGAAAATCTCAAAAATCCAAGGGCTAAGAACAAAAGGTCCACATGCACTACTTCTGTAGTTTCTGCCTGCGATAGCTCTTGAATCTTTCCTTTCCCTTCCTTTCTTTTGCTTTTTTTGTTTTTTTGGTTTTTCAAGACAGGGTTTCTCTGTGTAGTTTTGGTGCCTGTCCTGGATCTTGCTCTGTAGACCAGGCTGGCCTCGACCTCACAGAGATCCACCCGGCTCTGCCTCCTGAGTGCTGGGATTAAAAGTGTGCGCCACCACCGCCCCGCTCTTTTGCTTTTTTTGAGACAGGGTTTCATGTAGTCCAGGCTAGTCTCAAACTTGCTATGTAGGTAAGGCTGACCTTGAACTCCTAATCGAGCAGCCTTCACCTCCCACATGCTGGCATTACAGGTGTGTGTCACCATGCCCAGCTGGTGAACTTTTTCTAGGCACCCTGAAATGTCAAGGTCATCAATGACTGTCCTGGTGCAAAGCTGCTAGTTGCTACCCTGCTGGCCCCTGGGGACAGCTCACTGTTGTCACCCACCTCACAGGAACGTCTGCTCCTTCCAGTCTTCTGCCTAGGTCCTTTGTTACCTCCCTTGGCTTCCCTGATGGCCTGTCAGAGATGACCTTTGAACCTTAGTTCCCAGGGACTCTCAGCACCTTCTGGCTCTGTGCTTCCTTCCTCACACACAGTCAGGTAGGGGAGGCAGCTGGGTCAGGGGTTGCCCTGTGCAGCTCAGAACACTCCACAACTCCATGTTTTCAAGCTAAGGAAGGAATCCTCCCTGGGGGTCACAAGGTCCCACACTACCTGCTCTGTCTTTTTGTTCTCCTCTTCCTCCCTCCCTCCCTCTGCCTCAGCTTCACAGGCCTCCACACCTCAGGGCCTTTGGTCTGGCTGTCCCCTCTACTAGAAGCATGATGCTTACATTTGTTGTTGTTGTTGTTTGTTCTTTGAGACAAGGGTTTCTCCGTGCAGTTTTGGTGCCTGTCCTGGATCTCACTCTGGAGACCAGGCTGGCCTCGAACTCACAGAGATCCGCCTGCCTCTGCCTCCCAGTGCTGGTATTAAAGGCATGTGCCACTGCCACCCGGCGATGCTTACATTTGTCCTTCAGGTCTTTGCTCAAAAGTCTCCACATATCTTCTTATAATTTTAGGGCCTCATTACCAAGCCTAACCCCTCTTCCCTTTTCCTTAACTTTTCTCTTTAAAAAAATTTATTTTTCTTGCCAATTGTGGTGGCATACACCCAGTGCTCTTGAGGAAGAGACAGACAGAGCTCTGTGATTTGAGCCAGCCTGGTCTACATAGTAAGTTCCAGGGCAGCCAGGGCTACACAGAGAAACCTGGTCTCAAGAGAAAGAGGAGGAAGAGGAAAGAAAGACAGACAAATGGGGCTAGACCGATGGACCAGTGGTCAAGAGCACTTGCTGCTCTTGCAGAGGGCTGGTTGAATTCCCTAGCACCTACGTGCTGGCTCACAACTGCTGTAACTCCAGTTTCAGGGGATCTGATGCCCTCTCCTAGCCTCTGAGGGCACCAGGCATGCACTTGCCACATAGGTATACATGCAGGGAAAACACCGACACAATAACATAAATAAATGTTAAAAAAAAAAAAAGTACAAGTAGATAAAAATAAAAACGAAGGGTTGAGGTCATTCCAAAAAGGACTATGATGGTACTTCCTATCTAACACGTGGCTCCATAATTCTGCTAGTCATAGGCATGACATTGCCAAGGGATTTTCCAGGTGGCATTCTAAAAATGTCTCTACTCCTTCTCTGGAGTCCTAGAGTATTGCTAAGTGGTTAACTGGCTGGTGGAGTGGGCAGACTGAAGTTGATAGCCTTGGCTGCTGTCTGGAGTGTGAATCGCACACATCTCCACTGCCCAGGTGAGGTCCCCAAGCTGTGAGGCTGGGGAGGGCTTTCCACAGTTTATAGACTTGAGCCAGTGTGAGCCTGCTCTACCACATCCCTGCCAGGGTCAGCTGCTGACATTTCAGCTGCTTTGAGGGCAGGGGCTGGAGAGACCACGGGGAGGCGTGGCCTAGACAGGCCAGCTGTTCCAGCCCAGCTGTCTTAGTGTTCCCAACACAGGTACCCATGAGGAAGCCCTCGGGTGACACGGCCTCCTCTTCCATCTGATAGCAATTACATGAGACCCCTGAGTGTGGGCCAGCTGCCTGAGCCCAGTTAGTTCCCAGAGCACTGAAAGAAAACAAAGCCATTGTTCATGCAACCATCCATCTTTGTTCTTCTGAGACAAGGCAACTACACTCTCCCACTCTGAATCCAAGCTCTCTCTCCTCTCTCGGGTGTGTGTGTCTCACTATGTAGCCATGGCTCACCTGTACTCGCTCTGTAGACCAGGCTTTGCTTGAACTCACAGAGATCTGCCTGGCTCTGCCTTGGGAGTGCTGGGATCAAAGGTGTGTGTGCACCACCACACTTGTCTTTTTAAAATTTATCTTTTTTTTTTTAAATAAATTACATTAATGTGTGGGGACTGGAGAGATGGATCAGCGGTTAAGAGCACTGACTGCTCTTCCAGAGGTCATGAGTTCAATTCCCAGCACCCACATGGCAGCTAACAACTGTCTGTAACTACAAGAGCTGACACCCTCGCACAGACATACATACAGGCAGAACACCAATGCACATAAAATAAAAATAAATAAATTATAAAAGGGTTGGGGATTTAGCTCAGTGGTAGAGCACTTTTGCCTAGCAAGCACAAGGCCCTGGGTTCGGTCCTCAGCTCAAAAAAAAAAAAAAATCATTAAAAAATTACATTAGTGTGTGTGTTCCACTGCTGTATGTGGAGGCCAGAAGACAACTTTGTGGTCAGTTCTCTTATCCACCATGTGGATCTCGGGGGACTGAACCAGGTCGTCATGAATGCTGCCAAGCACCCTTACCCACTGAGTCTTCACCAGCCCTCCGGTTTTCTAGTATTTGGTGGTAGTTTTTATTTTTGCTGATGTTGTTATACAGGGGCTTACTCTAGTGCAAGCTGGCCTAGAATATGCGGTGGTCCTCCCGCCCCGGCCCTGCCGGGATTACAGCAGTAAACTACTGTAGTATCTGTCAATTACCTATTTACTGAATCAAAGTTGGGCCCTTCAGTACTTTCTCCTCTGCGCGCTGCCACGGGTCTCCAGTAGGGGGCGCAGGAGGAGCGTGGCAGACGGCAGCCTTGGCCTCCAGCTTTCAGGCTTCTCGGTGGCATGGGCCTGCAAGCTGCTGCGTCTCCGGCATCAGGATTCCCCAGCACCGGGCTCCTGCCACCACCTCACCCCAGACGCTTCCCGTACGCGGTTTGTCTGGCATCCTACAGGACGTGCACTTCTGGCAAATTCCATCCAGCCTGGGGCTGCTGTCTGTTTATTCTCTCTTTTCATTTAAGATTTTATTTTTAATGTTTGTTTATTTAGTGCATGGTGTGTGTGTGTGTCAGTTCTGCCCTGCTGAGTGGTTTCTGAGGAGGAATTCAGGCCTTCAGGCTGGGTGGCAGGTGCCCCTCCCCCACCCCAGGTATCTCAGTGCCCGCGCCCCCCCTTTTGGTGTTTTTGAAACAGGGTTCAGTCAAAGCTGAGTTCATCTCTGAAGTGATGGGATTACAGCTGTGTGACACCACACTCAATTCTGTGCACACTCATTCTTCTCTCCCTCCCTCCTTCCTCTTTCTTCCTTTCTTCCCGATGTCTGAGTAATGATCTCCTTATGTTGCTCAGGCTAGCCTTGAACTACTGTGCTTAAATTATCCTCTTGACTCAATCTCCCAGGTGGCTGAGACTACAGACATGCACTCAGGCACACACAAATAAAATACATATTAAAAAATACAAAATTTTCAAAAATTACTTTATGTTTATAAATGTTTTGCCTGCATGAATGTAATAACTGTACCACATTCATGCCTGGTGCCTGAGGAAGTTGGAGAGGGCACTGGATCCCCTAGAACTGGAGTTAAGGATGATTATGAAGCACGATGTGGGTGCTGGGAATTGAACCCAGGTCCTAGACAAGAGCAGTAAGTACTATTAACTACCAAGCCATCTTTCCAGTTACCAAAATGATGTTTTAATTGTGTGTGTGCATGTGTAAGCAGAGGACAGCTTGCAGGAGCTGGTTCTCTCTCTCTACCTCATGGGCTCTAGGGATCGAACTCAGGTCCCCACACTTGGTGGCAAGCACCTTTACACACTGAGCCATTAAAAACAAAACAAAAGCCAGGCAGTGGTGACGCACGCCTTTAATCCCAGCACTCAGGGAGGCAGAGCTAGGCAGATCTCTGTGAGTTTAAGGGTAGCCTGGTCTACAGAGCGAGATCCAGGACAGGCACCAGAACTACACAGAGAAAGCCTGTCTCGAAAAAAACAAAACAAAACAAAACAAAACAACAACAAACAGCATTTCTCTATGTAGTCCTGGCCTGTCCTGGAACTCACTCTGTAGACAAGGCTGGCTTCGAACTCACAGAGATCCGCCTAGCTCTGCCTCCTGAGTGCTAGGCATGTGTCACCACCGCCTGGCCGCTGTTACACTTAATAGCTGAGTCATCAACATTCGTGTCTCCAGTGACTATGTGGTTCCGGGATCCTGGTTACTCTCTGACTGACATGTCTACTACATATTCCCAAACCTGGCTTCCTCCTTCAGGACAGCTCCTCCAGGACTCATCCACATTGCTGGGGAATATGCCAGTGACCAAATGAACCAAAATCTGTTGATCCACTCACCATGATGGAGACTTACTTGAGCTGTTTCCCACGTGGAGCTGTTAGGAATGGAGCTGATATGAGTGTTCATGTATGAAGGTCTGTGTGCACATAGGTTGCATTTCTCTTGAATAAATACCTAGGAATGGAATTATTGGGTCACAGGGTAAGTATGCATTTCACTGCACAATAAAATGATTAAGGGGCCTGGAGAGATGACTCAGTGACTAAGAGCACTAGCTGCTCTTTCAGAGGATCTGGGTTCAATTTCCAGCACCCATGTGGCAATTCACAACCATCTGTAACTCCATTTCCAGGGGATCTGATACTCTTTTCTGGCCTATACAGGTGGTGCATGTACACACATGAAACTAAACACCCATACGCTTAAAACTAACATTAATTAAACTTAAACGAACATTAATTAAAAAAGTAAACTCTGAGCCAGGTGTGGTGGAGCCTGCTTTCTTTTTTTTTTTTTTTTTTTTTTTTGGTTTTTCGAGACAGGGTTTCTCTGTGTAGCTTTGCGCCTTTCCTGGAACTCACTTGGTAGTCCAGGCTGGCCTCGAACTCACAGAGATCCGCCTGGCTCTGCCTCCCGAGTGCTGGGATTAAAGGCGTGCGCCACCACCGCCCGGCTGGAGCCTGCTTTCTATCCCAGCACTGGGGAGGCAGAGACAGGCAGATCTCTTTGAGTGTGAGACCAACCTGGTCTAACAAAGAGAGTTCCAGGATAGCTAGAGCTGTTACACAGAGAAACCCTGTCTCAAAAAACCAAAATAAATCAATACACAAACAAACAAACAGTGTGTGTGTGTGTGTGTGTGTGTGTGTGTGTGTGTGTGTGTGTGTCTACCAGTGAGGGGCTGGGTCATGACTCGGTGGTAGGGCACCTGCCTAGAATCCCCCAGTGAGGGGCTGGGGGTGTGGCTAAGTGGTAGAGCCCCTGCCTAGAATCCCCCAGTGAGGGGCTGGGGTGTGGCTCAGTGGTAGAGCCCCTGCCTAGAATCCCCCAGTGAGGGGCTGGGGTGTGGCTCAGGGGTAGAGCTCCTGCCTAGAATCCCCCAGTGAGGGGCTGGGGTGTGGCTCAGTGGTAGAACACCTGCCTAGAATCCCCCAGTGAGGGGCTGGGGTGTGGCTCAGGGGTAGAGCCCCTGACTAGAATCCCCCAGTGAGGGGCTGGGGTGTGGCTCAGGGGTGAGCTCCTGCCTAGAATCCCCCAGTGAGGGGCTGGGATGTGGCTCAGTGGTAGAGTCCCTGCCTAGAATCCCCCAGTGAGGGGCTGGGATGTGGCTCAGTGGTAGAGCCCCTGCCTAAGATCCCCCAGTGAGGGGCTGGGGTGTGGCTCAGTGGTAGGGCACCTGCCTAGAACCCCCCAGTGAGGGGCTGGGGTGTGGCTCAGTGTTAGAGCCCCTGCCTAGAATCCCCCAGTGAGGGTTGGGGTGTGGCTCAGTGGTTGAGTGCTAGCCCAGCATACCCACAGCGGTGGATTCATAAACAGCACCAGAAAGAAAGGAAGGAAGAAAGAAAGAAAGGAAGGAAGGAAAGGAGAGATCAAAGCTGTTAGTGATAAAAGGAAGACTAAGATGGCTGTAAATTTATTTACAAGGCCACAAAATGAAGGGAAGGAGAGATAAGGAAATTTAATCAGTTAACAGCTGCAAGCCAAGCCAACAGAAAAGTATTCTGTATTAAAAATTGTTTGTTTGTTGGTTTAGCGTGTGAGTGTCATGCTGTGGTGCGGTGTGGGGCTGTATGAGAACTGTGGCGTCCTTCTCTCCTTGTGGATGTGGGTTCTGGGGATCTCACTTAACCCTTTGCCTGCTGAACCCTTTCTCTAACTCTATTCTGCATTCTGGGTTTTGGGTTTTTTGGGGGGGGGCGGGTTCAAGACAGCGTTTCTCTGAGTAGCCCCGGCTGACCTGGAACTCACTCTGTAGACCAGACTGGCCTCCAACTCAGAGATCCATCTGCCTCTGCTTCCTGAGTGCCAGGATTAAAGGTGTGCACCAGGAAATAACATTTTTTAAAAATATATTTTTATTTTATGTGTATGGGGTCCCTGCATGTATGTCTGTGCACCATGTGAATGCAGTGCCCTTGGAGGCCAAAAGAGGGTGCCGTACTCCCCGCCCCCCCAGGACTGGAATTACAGCTGGTTGTGAGCCACTGTGTAGGAGCTGGAAGTTGAACCCAGGTCCTCTGGAAAAGCAGCCAGTGCTCTAACAGCTTTCTCCAGCCCTAAGGAACCTTTAGAAAATGCAGCCTTGCTGAAGGAAGAGCCTCACTGTGGGTGGGCTGCGAGGTTTTACAGCTTTTCCCACTTCCTGTGCTCTCTGTTTCCTGTATGTGGATGAAATGTGACCAGCTTCCTGCCTTTGTCAACCCCGCCTTCCCACCCCCCACCCCGGTCACTTTGTCTTGCCTGCCATCATGACACATCTCTCCCTCTGGCACCCTGAGCTAAAATACACCCTCCCTTCCTTCAGTTGCTCTTAGTCATGGTGTTTATTGAAACCACAGAAAAGTAACTAATGCACCCCCGAAATCAATCAATCAATCAACAGAATGTAAAAAAGAAAAAATTTAAAAAGATGAATTTAGATCATTTTCTCACTGTCAGCTCATACTCACAATTACTTATCTAGACATTTAATTCAAGACATAAAACTAGAGCTGGACATGGCGGCCCACACCTACAATCCCAACAGTCTAGAGGCAAGAGGAGCGTGCATTCAAGGTCATCCTTGGTTATATAGTTAGTTAGAGGCCAGCCTGTTTCATAAGTAAATAAATAAACTTTAAAAATAAAGACTGTCTGGCTCCGGGAGGCATGTGTTGGAGACCGTGGGTACCTAATACCCCTGATCCTAACAGCTGTGGACAGAGCCAATGTGCTCAGGGCGCTTGACAAATGGCTCGCTGCGGTTGTGAATGCCTCACTATGATTATGGCCAGTGCCAGAATGTGGGCTCCCTATGGCAGCCTTGACGCAGGACAAGAGGAATGTGGGCGGGGCTGACACAGAGGGCGTGTCTTACAGTCCCACTGAGTCTCAGGCTGAACTCAGAAAATGCTCAGTTCAAAAAAAGATCTAGATTACCAAATGACCAAGTGTGACTCTGTCTAAAAAAGAAACGGAGGGAGGGAGGGAGGGAGGGAAGGAGGGAGGGAGGGAGGGAAAGACGGGGTGGGGGGCGCTATGGGAGTTGACAGAGTGCTGGCCTAACAGTCACAAAGCTTCTGGAATCGATCCCCAGCATTTCATAAAGCAGATACGTCACCTATAACCCTAGCGCTCAGAACTAGGAGGGTCAGAAGTTCAAGGTCATCCTTGGCTACATAGCCAATGCGAAGCCTGGGCTGCCCGAGATCAAGTTCTAACAGCAACACAAAAGAAAAAAGCTGTATTTAGAAACAAGGTGGAGCTGAGGCTGCAGCTCAGGGTTTGCCTCCCATGCATGCCTGAGGCCCCTTGTTTAACCTTCAGTGTGGCAGAGAGAGAGGGAGCGAGAGCGAGAGAGAGAGAGAGAGAGAGAGAGAGAGAGAGAGAGAGAGAGAGAGAGAGAGAGAGAGAGATCTCAGAGAGGGCCCATAGTAGTTAAGAAGATTCCTTAAGGTCTGGAGCAATGGCTCAGCGGTTAAGAGCACTGGCTGCTCTTCCAGAGGCCCTGGATCCAATTCCCAGAACTTACATAGCCCCTCACAACTGTCTGTAATTCCAGTTCTAGGGGATCTGACACCCTCACACAGACATACATGCAAGTAAAATACCAATGCACATAAAATAAAAATGAATAAATTCAGAAAAAATATTTCTTCATTAAGAGGAGCCATGTTCCACACAGACAGACAGACAGACAGACAGACAGACAGACACACACACACACACACACACACACACACACACACACACACACACGTCCTCATGCAGTGTGGCGCCATGTCCAGAGAACACAGTGACTGTCCTTTACCAAATCCTGCTGACTGCACATCTACTTTACTCCAGGTTTCTGGGAAGTGTTTGGGAACTCACTCAGAGCCCCACAGGAGGGAGATGCTGTTCTCCACCAAGGGAAACTGAGGTTTTAGGAGGCAGAAGACATGCTTAAGTTCCCTCAAGCAGTGAACTACAGAGCGAGGGCAGAGCCCAAAACCACGGGAAGCTCACAGGTCCAATGGATGGGTTCTCTTTTACTTCTCTTTCTTTTCGTTTTGAGACAGGGTCTCTCAATAGTCCGAGCCCTTCCGAACTCACTCTGTAGACCAGGCTGGCCTCAAACAGATCCACCTGCCTCTGCCTCCCAAGCACTGGGACTGAAATCGTGTGCCACCAAGTCTGGCTCTGTTTTCATTTTGAGACAAGATCTTACCGTGTAGCCCAGGCTGACCTTGAACTCATGACCCCCCCCCCCTAACCTCCAAGTGCTAAGATCACAGACATGCACCACACCTGGTCTCACATCTGATGTGTTTTGATGGAGGATTCTAAAATCAAGGCAGCAGGTATTTGGCAGGCATTGTAAAAGGCCATCACAGAAACAGAATGGGGGGGGGGGGTGGAGGTTGATCAATTAAAATCCAGTTTCATCTGGTTTCCTTCTGCAGGAAATAGAGGACTTCTGTTTTTCTTTTTTCTTGTTTGTTTGTTTTTCTCGGTGTAGCCCTGGCTATAATGAACTCGCTCTGTAGACCAGGCGATCCTCAAACTCAGAGATCCACCTGCCCCTGCCTCCCCAGTGCTGGGATTAAAGGCATGCAACACCACCAGTGAGAGAGGACTTCTCAACGCCTTTAGCGGCTTCCCCAATGTTTTCATTTGCTTACGTGGCCTCTGGCATGAATAGCTACAGATGCCTCCCATTACGTCACTCAATAGCTAGGATGTGAAACCTGGTGCTCAGGACTCCAGAGTCTGTGCCACTGGACCAGTTCCACATTGTTTTATATCTAATCTTGCTTCGTTCTTCCCTATTTAAAAATACACTGGTGTGGGCTGGAAAGATGGCTCAGCGGTTAAGAGCACTGGCTGCTCTTCCTGAGGACCCTGGTTCAATTCCCAGCACCCACATGGCAGCTCAAAACTGTCCTGGAACTCCAGTTCCAGGGGACATTCACACCAACACACATAAAATA